GGGGGGGGTGGGGGGGGGGTGGTGGTGGTACTCAAACACAAGACAATACACAAGTAAAATGCTTGGATAAATTTAACCTACTTTGAGAACTGAATGTCCAGCTGACAGCAACCATCATAAATATTGCGTCCCTAGAAATTAAGTTCAATCACCATTCAGAAACAACATTCGAATTGACAAGCTAAGTAAAGCTTGAAAGGAAATGTAGAACAACCTGAAGTGTACTTCTTGCCATAACAGCACTTTGATGTGATTGATACTGGATGAGAGCCTGAAAGCCTAGAAAGTTTGTGAATGCATGATAAAACAATTAGAAGAACATTCACAAACTATAGTGCATAAATCAAATATTACAATAATTTTTTCCCATAAAAAATTAAATAACAATTTTCATCTTTGATTACAGGGCACAAGCATACGCATTATGTTGTGTAAATATAAATAGGAAAACAATGTTAATTAGCCAGCTACTGTTAGTTAGGATTTTCTAGCTATATGGTAGTTGCCTATAAATAAAGCATGGTTGTTGTATTTTAAACAAAATGGAATAATGATAATAGAAGTGTAGTGCACAGTTCTTTGATCTCTGTTTCTCTCATCTCTTTCTTTATCCTTTTTGTTCTTTTATCCACTGATATAGGATTTTATAGCTTTGTTTCTGTCTGTTTCATTCTCTGTCCCAACTAAATCCTATATCAGTGGTATCTAGAGCTACCTGTCCTTGGATAGACCAAATTATTTTCACCTATGGTCACAGAAACACAATCACAGGAAATTATGCGCAAAATGAAAGAACAGTTCATTGAAATTGAGCAGAGGCTCATAAAGATCATCACACTATCAAACATAGAGGAGGGCACTTCAAATCAACTTCAATGGCTAATGGATGAAAGGGATGACGCCTCCAACAATCTGGAATGTGGTCACAGGGGAGGACACCATCAACATTGCGTGTTTGCAGCAATGTGACACCTTGGCAGAATTTAATAATGAATTTCATGCAATTTCCAGCAAACTTTTACCCCACCTGAAGAATACCTTGTTGTTGGAGCACTAGTCGAGATAATTAGTGATAGCTATCCTGTTTTGTGAGTAATTTTTGGAATGATATCTTGAAAACTTTGGGGATTGAACAGAAACTATCTTCCTTTTACCATCCTGTTCAAAGTTCAAGACCCTTGTGGGCAACAATCTTGTTTTGGGGAGGGGTATTGATTGTTATGTAAATATAAAAAGAGTGTTAGTTAGTTAGTCAGATACTGTTAGTTAGGATTTTATACTAATAGGTAGCTGCCTATAAATAAAGCATGATGACTGTATTTTAGTCAGACTGGAATAATGATAATATAAGTGCAGTGCACAGTTCTTAGATTTCTCTGTTTCTCTCACCTCTCCCATTATGTTCTTCCCTCTTTCCCTCTTTCTTTCCATTTCTTTCTTCTGCCCACCTAAATCTTATATCACATTATTTGTTGAAATTGAAAATGGAGAAGCATTCCATTAAACATTAATAAACCATAGCCGCTACAAATTCAAATTTAAGGACTATATAATAGCATATTTCAAAACAAATTATTGCATGTCCAAAATATAACCTCAATCTACCTAGTTAAAGTCCAGAAACACAAAAATAAATATCGGGAAGGAAAGAAGAGAAAGGAAGAAATCTGAGAGAATCTGACCAGCTGACTTCTGAAATGTTACAATCTTTTCCACAGATCCATGGGGAGAAAATACTTGATACAGAACATCCACTGTTATAGGATACAGCATGTGATGAATCGTAACTAAGAGAATTCGGTTTGGCTGTGCATCCAGAGAGTTCCCAACAGCAGGACAGCATAGAGAAAGAGAAGATATGGAGAGGAGAATAAATAGAGAAGTATATGATAAAGAGAAAATGGAAAGTACAGAATATAACAATTTAACACTGACGCCACTCAAATGGAAGAGTCTAAGAGAACAATACAAAGACATGGGGTTATACACAAAATAAATACAAATAATAAATAGAGAAGTATATGATAAAGAGAAAATGGAAGGTACAGAATATAACAGTTATAACAGTTTAACACTGACCCCAATGAAATGGAACAATCTAAGGGAACAGTACAAAGATATGGGGGAGAAATATTATACAGAAAATATAAAATACAAATGCCAGAAAAAAGAGCCGATCATTTCTCTCTGCTTTTGTAAGCAATTGACAAGATAAAGCATACAAATTTCAATCCAAAAATATAAATACAAAAGACGCCAACCTCTTCTCCTCGTCCCTGACTTTGATCCATTGTTGTTAGTTCCTGATGTGAGGAAAACTGAACATAAACATTCCTTCCCCTAGAACAGAACAAGATAGTTATATCGTTTAGGCTATCTAAATATCAAAGGGAATAAATAGAACATTTAAAAATATTCAAATAAGAAACCAAAAATCATCTTATCAAAACTATAGTCAATGTGATCATGTCCACATTTGAAACGCAGAAAAACAAGCCATTTGTACCTAATGCTTGGCTGAATATTTGCATAAAACTGTAAAGCATTAACTGCAGAAGGAACATCTTGCATTTGAACAAGGGCCTGAAAATATGGCAGATTGTAAAAATAGTAACAAAAAATGAAATGAAACAACCTGAAGTTTCTAATGGAAACAGTCAGCCTTGTTTAAAGGCATGAAAAAAAAACCTGATTTTTTGCACGCAGCATAACTAGCTTTGTTATGACTCCAAAAGGCTGAAACAGCTGAAGTAAATCATTCTGCAATCATAGGAGGAAAAGATTATTAATCTTTCTCGAACTAATGAAAGCAAAAAAGCTCTACTTGTAAAGGAAACACAATTCATCCTCTGCTAAGACAATAAATACGAAGATCTACAATATACAATTATGAATAGAAATTCAATTTCCAACTCTACTAACACAAGGTAGCCCTGCAGCTTCTATTATGAAATACTCTGTGTGTATGTGTTCATGTGTGAATAGACTAGAGCTAACAAAAAAGAGTTGCAATCAATAACTAAAATAGAAAATGTAGAACCATTAATAAAAAGTTTCAAACACAGAAGCCTTGGTTGATTCTCTTCTCATTTCTTAGATTTAAAAAATGTTTTCTAAAACATTTCCACACTACCAAACTAATCAGCAATCAATTTCTCATCTAAAATGTGCCCAGCTTTGAAAATTGTTTTTAAAACGTGTTTCAAAAACCAAAAAATAGAAACAGCTTGGAGTGTTTTAAAAACCTTGTTTAGTTGTATTTTGAAAACTGAAAACAGCTTCTGAAAATAGAAATTAAAACACACCATCAGTGTAGCCAAGACATGATCATAATACCAAAACAAACAGGTACAAACCACAAAGACATCCAACTAGAGAGAGAGAGAGAGAAGTACTTCAGATATCTCGTGCCCCACATTTCGAACGTGAATGACCTTGGAAGGTTCAGTCATTGCAAATTAACCTGTAAAAACCAGGAAAATGATGATGAAAACACTTCAACTGTTTCATTTTACTTGTGCAATTTATGGCAAGCATCAAACCCCAACAATTCTCTAGTTTGAATCAATCCGAAAGCAGGCAACTGAAGTAAAAGCGTCATTTGACATGCTCGAAAAGTTTCACTCTAAAAGTAAATAACCCCTCAAAGAAGCTCACAAGGTATCGTCCATTCCAATTGTATTAAATCACAACACAATCGATACCAATAGATCATAATGCGAAGGATAGAAACGTGGGGTCCCACAAACGAAGTACAAATCACGAATGGAGAAGGAGAATAAGGGAGAAAAATGAAATTCTTATTTCACACTGAATCAAACTGGAATGCAACTTGCATACCCAATTGGAGACCTGAATCTAGGGACTGTGCAGAACAAAAAGCAGTGAACAAAATTTCAAAGAAGAAAAAAGGTATCTGGAAAATCCAGCTCGGAGGCCAAAAGTTGCAGCATACAAAACGCATGGGACGTTCCTTGGTTCAAAACGGAGAAGTAGATAGAAAAACAGAGAGAACTTGCCTGAAACAGGGTGACACGGAAAGAGAGAGAAAGAGAGTTAAAGAGGAGTGGCACGCATGATCTAATGATGTGTAACTCAGTGCGGGTTTACATGAGAGAGAATTTAAGGTTCCAAGTCTGAAGATTTGATCATGCTTTTGGTCTCATCACACACAACCACTCCCAAAACTTATCCATCTATTTTTGAGTTGGCATTCCGTGCTTATCTGGCCTACCCAACCAAAATATTCATTTTTTTCATTTCATATAAATCTAAGAGCTCACTTTTAATTCATTAATATTATCACTGAGATATAATTTTTATTAACCAGTATCTACCAATTATAATTTTTTATTTTATAATAATATAATAAAAATCGCTACGAGATTGAGTTTTCATCTTAAATGGATACTCTTTGCGATTGAACATCATTAGAGTTGCTGTATTTGGATAAATAATTGAGTTCTTAGAATTTCGTCAAATGCATTTACACGGGATTTGATAATTGACTCAACATGTTTATGATAAATTTGGGCAAAAATATAGCATGTGCAACCGTAATTATAGATTGTAATAAAAGTAACAAATTGCGGTAAAAATACCCTACTTTCATTTTTTCCCATAATTTAGTAATATACAAATAATAGTGGTATTGCTTTAATACTATTTTGCACATCACTATGAATAACTATACATCTAAATGTAACTTTAACAACTCAATCATTCAAAACCATGTTTGAAAACATGTCCAATTACACCAGGGACTTTTAATACATCCAAATCCAAATAACAATAAAACATTCAAAAAAGTAAGATATCTTATGAGAGGAATATATCCGCTCAACTGTAACGGCACACTTCAGAGAAAAACTACGTATAGTACTAGATGTCTGATGATTTCTAAAACTTAATAATCTTTATTTAAGGCAATAACCATCTTTAATAGAATGAATATAAATCATTGTCTTAACATCAGTCACAAAGGCCTCAAGCCCAAATAATGATCATAAATTCAAAAATGCCACCACAGAATTATAAATTAGTATCAACTCGAAAGCAGCTGTCGTGCACCGATCATAAGTTGTTTTTCAACGAAAGATAAAATAAATTATAAATTTCCTTTGACACGACAATATAATATCATAAACAAAATTTCAAATTTCGAAAAAGATAAAACTCCCTTGAAACAAAAGTTCAGCAAAATTATGGAAAAATACTCAACTGGAGGATCCATATTGTCAAATCATAAACACTACAAGTTTAAAAGATATAATAACCAAATATAATTCTAAAAGTACGTTCCAGCATTTCCATCCAAAAAGCATAATTATGCTTTGAGGCGTCCAAAGAACTTCTGCTTCTCCTGCGTTGTCTGGAAACGTCCATGCCCAAACTTTGAAGAGGTGTCGATAAACTTGAGTTTGATCTCCTCCAGAGCAACACGAGAAGTCTGCTTAAGAAGCGATTGGCGCAAAGTGATCACCCTCTTCTTGGGACCAACACAGCATCCCTTGACCATGATATAATCATGGTTCACAATACCATAGTGTGGGAAACCACCCATTGGCGTAATGTCTTTCTCAGTCCTGGAAAAAAAAAAACCAAGTAGAATCAATTTGACTTACTTCTTCATGTAAATTCACCATGACTAAAATATTTCATGCAATTTATTAATTCATTGCACGTGTAACCATAATCAACAAGCCACTCTCACCTGTCAAACTCTGTCAGAGCAGTGTGAGACTCATCTCCAGCTTTGCCGAGCTTGTAAACCTTCTTGTTCAACTCAGTTCGGTGGTGATAACCATTCTGACCAGCCCTGGCAACAGTGAAGGAAACTCTAGCAGGATGCCAGGCACCAATACATGCCACCTTCCTCAAACCCCTGTGAGTCTTACGGGGAAGGCGTGTAACACCCCAACGAGTTACAACACCTTCATAACCCTTACCCTTTGTCACTCCGATGATGTCAATCATCTCATCCTTCTGGAAAACAGCATCAACAGGAACCTGCTTCTCAAAGAAACTGTACGCAAAGTCCACCTTCTGTGCAATAGTCCCACCATTAACCTGAATTTCCATGAGATGGGCTTTCTTTTGCTTCAAACCTTTCATTTTCCTGATCTGTAAGATTCAAGGCAAACAGAATTATTTTAGAAAAACATCAAAACTTGTGACTAATGATAATTGGAAGTGACTTAGAATTTGGAATATAACTAGCACAACAAAGGAACAAGTAGTGAAATTCTAGAAAATTTTAACACAATAATGCCAAAACAGAAAAGACATGTAAAACAAAATTAGAATAAGAAAGAAGCCAACACATTCCAAATAAATTGCTAGAAGCAAATAATGACAAAATCTTTTATACCGAAGAGCACAAAAAAGAAGAACGAAACAATGGGAGTCAGAAATCTCGTGTGGAAAGTGCCGCTCATAGCACCAATTTCTATGGTGCTGCGTTAGCACAATAATTTCATCATTCTCATGTCACAAAAGGCAAACAAAACCATATAAGGGTAAATGGTTAATGATATAATGCTAAGCTAACATATATAACTGCCAATTTATATAAAATATGAAATGAGTGTGAGCCAAAAACACGGAGTCATTACCTGAGTGTGAGCCAAAACACGGACCACAGTAGCATACTTCTTGAGTTTCTCCAGCTGGGCCTCAACGTTTTTTTTTCCTTCCTCAGATTCATACTGCTTTGAGTACTTGGTGAAAGCCTTCTTCTTGGACTTGCACCAGTTCTTATAGAACCTACGTTTCACTTCCTCACTCAAATGCTGAGCCCATACAGTGTTCAATGTTCGAAGGCCACGGGGAGTTTTCACATAACCCACAACACCAACAATAACCATTGGAGGGGTCTCAATAATTGTAACAGGCTCACAAGTTTCCTTCTTGTGAAGCTCTGACAAAAAAAAATACAACATATAGTTGAATAAATAAATGATATCATAATGATAATTAAGGGAAAGCTTCACACAACAGAACAATTAAGGCAATATTAGCATTATAAACATCAAAAACCAAAATTTGATGAAAACATGTTTTTATGGTCAAAATACAACGAAATCTCATATTTACTGCAGTCAAACAACTCTGTAACGAAAATGCAATAAATCCAAACTGATAATTAGTGGGAGAACACTATCACAATAAACATTATTTTGATGATGAAATAATAAATCCACATTTAAAACCATTTAAAAACATTATGGTAAAAACAACCGGGATAAAAAATCAAACCAATAACAGTTCTGCTATAGATAATCAAGTAGCAGAGTAAAATACATGGTCAGCAAACTTATATTCATTACATAACATCGATAGGTAAAAGCATGATTTTTTATGAATATGGGACTTACTTGACCCTGGCTTCTCGACCTCTCTAACAATGTGAGTCATACCAGCCTTATAACCCAAGAATGCAGTGAGCTTGGGTGCCTTGCTTGGGTCATCCTTGGGGAAAGCCTTCACTGCACAAGTCAAAATTACACATCAACAGAGCAATAACAGACAAGAGAAACCATTAAAAAAAAATTCATTAAAATACGTAAAAATATTGAAGACTCCTTAAGTAAGGTTATTAAAAGCCAGAGGCTCAAATGAACCACACAACGCCCAACAACATTGTGGGTTTTCAATAATCTTCCTCAGCAATAAAAGTTCAAGTATCGTTAGATCAAATCAGCCAAATCATATTGAAGAAAAGAAAAACCTTTTCCCCTGTGACGAGCCGCACGCTTCCTGGGGAGGAATCCCAGAGAACCGTGTCGTGGGTGTTCGAACTTCCTGTGAGACATCCTTCTCCTGCTTCAGAACATAAATATAAAAGCGTGAGTACTTTATCTCGGGTGACAAATCAAACACAAAATTGATGCTACTGCGACGAAGACAGGAAAGAGGGGCGCTGTTACAACGGATCTAGAATGGGCAAAAGAAGAAAGGATTGGACGGAGATAATGAGAAAGTGAAGAAGAGAGAACCTGACGCTGCTCCTGCTGCGGCGAGTGAAGACCCGAACAGAAACACTGAACTAAAACCCTACTCCCTCAATGCCTTTTATAGAGCAGGCCTTTTAATTATTAATCTTATGGGCTAGGGTTTGGACTACTGAGACGGGCTTCCAACCCCTCATAAAAAAGTCATACAATGGGCCTGGAATTAAAATACTTGGGGCCCAAATAAATTTGACAAAGGATGAGTGTGCCGGTGCCAACCATGTCACGACCCACTGAAATGGACTCTTTTTATTTACTACTTCTATTTCATAATAATAAGTGCTATGTAATTTTAAATAAATAAGTGTTATTTTAATTTTTAATATAATATTAATTATTATTTTTATTTATATTCTAATAAAAATTTGCTAACAAAATTAATTTTGTAAAAATTATTATTCTTTTATTTGTTTATTAGTTTTTTTGGTCTAAAAACTAATTAAAACGACATTTATATATATATATATATAATAGGTTAGATAAGTTATGTTATTTTATTTTTTATATTATTTCATATATAAAAAATTAAATTACTGAAGTTTTTTTAGTAACATTTATTTTTAGTTTTTTTTAACATTTATTTAGTAAAATTTAGCACCAATTATGTAATATAATAGATAGAAATAAAGTATTGTCATTATTGACTATTAATAGATATATTATAAACTGATTTTATAAATGTCTTATACAATTCATTTCGAAAGGTCCAAAGATAAATTATATTAAAAATAAATTATGGTTAAACTTTAATTTTACAACTACGAAATCAATTATCAATCATTTTTAAGAATTTATGCATATATATAACTGCTAAGATGAGATTCTCACATCATAGTTGAAAACGCGTATCGCATTGCCACCCTCGGCCTTAGCCACTTTAGTAGCAAGACACATAATACGTTTATGTCATGTCACTTGTCACCATGTGTCTCATCTTGCTACAACCTCGATCTTTTTGTCCTTTGAAAAAACTGTGATGAACCTATATTCGTTAACTTGGCAATATCAAAAACTAAATGAATCAAGATATTCGTTAACTTGGCAATATCAAAAACTAAATGAATCAAGATACTCAACGCTATTAAGTCTCCAAATGTATATGTGAGTTACACAACTAATGAAGAAACCAAACAAAATAAAGGGATAATTTGTTATCAACGGCTAGATTACCTAATTGGTGATTAGAAAACAAGACCTACCAAATCCAAATCTATTTATAGTCGGTATAAATAATCATATAAAACATGATAAAACTATTATTTATTTGTTACTCCTTTAGATATTTAAGTCTATCTTGACTTGAGTGTCGGAGTACCTTTTGATGGTACATCTCTCTTTTTACTCAAAAAGTTTAACCAACAAGAAATTCAAAGTTCGACATAGAAATTTATCAGTATATCCTTAGATATGTACAAATCATATTTAAAAATTATCAATAATGTAATGTAACTAAAACTTAGAGAATCTATATATAAAAGAACTAAATTTAATATGATGTTGTAACTCACAAAGACACTAGTAGGTAAATTTTATGTGACAATATTTAACAAATTGTTTAACAAAATTTGAGTATAAACTAAAACAAGATTTTTTTTTTTAAATTATAGTGACTAAAAGTAACAATTTTAAATTTGAAAGATCAAAAATAAATTTATCCTAAATTTAAGAGATAAAAAATATATTTAAATTATTTATAAATATAAAATTTCACTTGTACCTAATATAAAGGTTTGTATATTTATTTTTTACACATTTTTATCTTATTATTTATTATAATTTAATATAGAAGTTTTTAACAATATTTATTTCACAAATAATCAAGGAAAAACATTTGTGCTTCACGAGTTAGTTAGCGGTTTATATGAAATAGAATAAATAATATGGTATAAGAACTTTAACATCTCTTACCCTCACCATTTTATTCTTATATTACAAATTTATTCCTGTTCTTTATTTTTCTCATCATTTAGTTTTTTCTTTAATAATATTCCCTTTCATAAATACACGTGTCACAAGAGACGAGACACAATTGTTATGCTACATAATCCTTTTCCCTATTTCTCTCAAGATAAGCACCACTCCAAATACTTTCCGAAAAAGAAATAAAGAAAGTTCAGACATTTAGTTAGGCAGCTCATACAGAAAGTTCAGATGATGATGATTTTCAAGAACTTTGTTTCCACACAAATTTGGTAATAGCATATATTAAGGCACGAGTTACTGTTCACACACGATTTCTCCACCTACAGATGTCATATTGAAAAACTGAACGGTGAGAATGAAGATCAGTATGTCGTAAATGCTACCTCCAAATTTTGTGATGATCCAACGGTAAGATTGACGGCGATCTTGATTTGAAGGTGTAAGTGCGAACCAGAATTTCACTCTTCTCTCTCCCTTTCTTAGCTGCTGTCTTTCCTCTGTTTCAGACCTCTCTACCTCCTTCAATTGATCCCTACTCCACTTAGGTTTAGTGAGAAAAATGGGCTTGCCAAATTTGGGCCTTTGGTCACATAGTTGGGAGCCCAACCCAACATATCTCCCCCCTCACAACTATGTGGAGGTGACCGCCATTCTGGCGATCTCACAACAAACTTCAAAATTTCCTCTTGGCAATGCCTTGGTCATCATATCAGCACCATTATCATTTGTATGAACCTTAGCTAACTCTAACAGCTTAGCATCCAAAACATTACGTATCTAATGATACCTCACATCAATATGTTTGGATTTAGAATGGAAAGTTTGATTCTTACCAAGATGAATAGCACTTTGACTGTCACAATACAATAGGTATTTGTCTTGCACAAAACCAAGCTCTTGCAAGAATTTCTTCACCCATAACAATTCCTTGCACGCTTCAGTAAGTGCAATGAACTCAGCTTCAGTAGTGGACAATGCTACACACTTTTGCAATCTTGATTGCCAAGCCACAACTCCCCCTGCAAACTTAACCAAATAGCCTGAAGTGGACTTTCTAGAATCAATGTCTCCAGCCATATCTGAGTCTGAGTAACCCACCAAAGTAGGTTTATCACCTCCAAAATAAAGCTTCAAACCACTAGTACCACGAAGATACCTCAAAATCCATTTCACAGCATTCCAATGCTCTCTACCTGGATTTGACAGAAATCTACTGACTGTACCAACAGCATGTGCAATATCAGGTCTTGTACATACCATTGCATACATTAAACTACCCACCGCATATGCATAAGGAACTCTGCTCATGTTTATCTTCTCAACTTCATTTGAAGGACACTGTTTAACACTCAGTTTAAAATGAGCAGCAAGAGGAGTACTTACAGCTTTAACATTTTCCATATGGAATCTCTGCAACACGTTCTGAATATAGTGCTCCTGTGATAACCAAAGCTTCTTATCTTTTCTATCACGAATGATGCTTATACCAAGAATCTTCTTAGCAGCTCCCATGTCTTTCATGGAAAATGACTCGCCCAATTGCTTCTTCAACCTGTCAATTTTGGAAACATCTTTCCCAACAATAAGCATGTCATCAACATACAACAACAGGATAATGAAGTCATCATCAGAAAATTTTCTAACAAAAACACAATGGTCAGAAGTAGTCTTCTTGTAGTCTTGCTCACACATAACAGACTCAAACTTCTTGTACCACTGCCTTGGAGCCTGCTTCAAACCATATAGGCTCTTTCGCAACCTACACACATAGTCTTCTTTTCCTTCAATAAGGAAACCATCAGGTTGCTTCATGTAAATCTCTTCCTCCAAATCACCATGAAGGAAAATTGTCTTCACATCCATCTTTTCAACCTCTAGATCAAGAGTAGTAGCTAAACTTAGCATAGTTCTGATGGACGACATTCTTACCACAGGTGAGAAAATCTCATTGAAGTCAACACCCTTTCTCTGTCTGAAACCTTTCACGACTAATCTGGCTTTGTATATGGGAGATGTAGAATTGCTCTCTTGCTTCACCTTGAAAATCCACCTATTTTCTAAGGCCCTTTTGCCCTTAGGCAACTTTACCAAGTCATAAGTGTGATTATCATGCAGAGATTTCATCTCATCCTGCATAGCATCCAACCACTTTTGCTTTTCTTCACTCTCAATGGCCTCTTCATAACATTCAGGTTCTCCCTCGTCAGTCAACATCACATACTCATTAGGAGTGTACTTCTTAGAAGGTTGTTTTGGCCTGGTAGATCTCCTGGGTTGAACTTGTGGTGGCTCAGGTGCATCATCATGATCATCATCATGTACTATATCATCTTCATGTTGAGCATCACCAATTGGAATCTCCAATCCATCTCCAACCTGCTGATTATCAATATCACCATGTTGCTCATCATTATGAACATTAGTATCCAATTCATTAGCTGATAACCGAATTGGATCAACATCAACCACATTACCATCTTCCTTAGGTGTAGACTTCTCCATCTTATCAATGTCTTCAATGGTTTGATCTTCCATGAACTGCACATCATGACTTCTAACAAGCTTTTTCTCAACAGGATCATACAACCTATAGCCAAGTTCATCCTGACCATAACCAATAAAGATGCATAGCCTGGTCTTCGCATCCAACTTGGATCTTTCATCCTTTGGAACATGAACAAATGCCTTACAACCAAGACATGCAAATGATCATAGCTAACATTCTTGCCAAACCAAATTTTGTCTGGCACCTCAGAATTCAAAGCAACAGCAGGACTAAGATTGATAACATGTATCGCCGTGTACAGTGCCTCACCCCAGAAATGCTTGGACAACTTAGCTTCAGAGAGCATACACCTCACTCTCTCAATCAATGTCCTGTTCATCCTCTTCGCTAAACCATTCAGCTGAGGAGTTTTAGGAGGAGTCTTCTCATGTGCAATACCATGTTGTTTACAGTAGACATCAAATGGTCCACAATACTCACCACCATTGTCAGTACGAATGCGTTTCAGCTTCTTGCCTAATTGTCTCTCAACTAAGGCATGAAACTCCTTAAACTTCTCCAACACTTGGTCTTTTGTCTTCAAAGCATAGACCCATAGTTTCCTGGAACAATCATAAATAAAGGTAACAAAGTAAAGTGCGCCACTAA